GTATATTTCATGTTTTGTTTTATTTTTTATTATTTCAATATTTATTTTCAATATTCAGTTTTAAAAAAATTTAATTAATCGTCACATGTAATTAATTAGATAAAAAATTGTAATTGCTTGACAGCCTTATTTAATAATCAATTAATTAGTAGCATTTATTTAATAATCTGTGCTCAAATAAAAGTTGGAGTTGCATATAGACATTGAATTGCATTTAAGGTGACTTTTTAATTAACTAATTCTGTTTCTACTCCAATTTGTTGTTGAAATATAAACATTTAAATGGTGGCTGTAATAAAAACTTGTTTTCATGACAGATTTATTGAAAACTCATATATCATGACAGCGGCTGTGTTTGTTACTGCAGGTGAAGTTAGTGCAGCACACGTACTCGTGTCTGTTTGGGACGTTCCTGTGTAACAGCGTGAAGGAGCGCGAGGAGCAGCGCGTTCAGGAGAAGACGTGCTCCGTTTGGTCTCTGCTGCGGCCTGCCAACACTTCCTTCCACAACATCCTATACTCGCTGCGATCCGAGAAGGTACCGCACACACGTGACATCTGAAATCATGTCTGCTCTTCTGTGTGATCAAATATATTACAGCCTGGGTTATTATAATTAACTTAAACCATAAAAATCTTTAGTTACCTGACTTAAAATAAACTTTAATATATATATATATATATCAAAACGGCTTCACGGGGGTTATTGCTTTTATAAAATGGTTATTCCATATACGTAGTAAGGTTTCACAAAATAAAACAGAGCAAATAAAGTGTAATGATATTAATAAAAACAGTATTCTTCCACCAAACAATGTAGCTCCTCAGAAACAGTTGTGGTTGCTACAAAGTGGTATCTTTAGTTACCTGACTTAAAATAAACTTTAATATATATATATATATATATATCGAAACGGCTTCACGGGGCTTACTGCTTTTATAAACCGGTTATTCCATATACGTAGTAAGGTTTCACAAAATAAAACAGAGCAAATAAAGTGTAATGGTATTAATCAAAGGTGTATGTTTGTAGAGTCATTTACAACAGCTTCGAACACGGCTCAGCCAATCAGAATCAAGCACCGGAACTATCTGTTTATAATATATATATATATATATATATATATATAATAAAATGAAAAATAAATAGAAAACTAAATAAAAATGGCAAAAACACAAAACATAATTACCACTTTTACTAAAAATTCAAATAAAAACAGAAAAACTAATTCAAATCACGGTTATTATAGATATCTACAATAAAATTAATTTGTTACTTGAAATAAAATAAACGTTAATTTGTAAAAAGATAAAATACAATTCTCAACTAGTTGCCAAATAATTAAAACTGAAATAAAATTAATAAAAACTACATATGAAAAACCCCAAAGCTACTAAAAATGACAAAAACAACTATAATAACTACAATTAAAATGAAAATATAAAAAGAAAAACTGATTAAAAAAAGGAATAAAAACTGTAATAGTCTCTTAATGCTTGTAAAGTAACACTGCAGCACATGCATTTTCAGCACTGATGATAATAATCATGTTTCTTGATCAGGATATTATACTGATTTCTGAAGATCATGTGACACTGAAGACTGGAGGAATGATGCTGAAAATACAGCTGCGCATCACAGAAATACATTACAGTTTAACAGAGATTCACATAGAAAACAGCTTTTTTTATTCTAATAATATTTTGCAAATTTTTTACTGTATTTTTGATCAAATGAATGCAGCCTTGGTGAGCAGAAGTGACTTTTCCCCAAAAAAACATAAAAATATATATATTTTCAATTGTAGTTCCTGCTCTGAATTCTATCTAGGCAGCTCACTAGGTTTTGAGACGCAGCCTGAATCTCTCCATCAGGTTTTGCACCCGGTGTGTCACGTGAGGAATCTGATGCTATGGATTGCCGTCTACCTGCCTAACTCCGCCCCCTCCACGCCTTCAGACGAGTCATGTGTGCCACACTCCGCCCCCTCAGCCTCGCCCGAGGACACACCTGTGAGCAGGTAAACGAGACGTGATGTATGTGCTTCTGTGTGCTGCAGTTCCTTTTTCCAAACCCATTTATGAACCATGTTTACATGCATCAGGTTAATGCGGTCACATGATGCATACTAAATATGAACATTTATGCATTAAACACTCTTTTATTCAAAACAACTTAAAATGACATTTAAGGTAATCACTGAGATATACATATTTCAGTATACATTTTTTTTTAAACTCAATTAATACCCATTTATTTTATTTCACATAACAAAATTTTATTTTCTGTTTTAGGTTTAGTTGACTATAATGACCCAGATCTAAGGTTTAAATTTTTATCAGTTTATGCATTTCCTGGAAATCCAACCCTTGACTTTTCCGTTGCTAGTCACACGTTCTACTGTTCGAGCTACAGAAATGCCAACGTAAAATGCTTACGTGAAATATTTATGTAAGAAATTAATATTGGAACATTCTAGTGCATGTAAACATGATCATTAACTCTTTCCCTGCCAGCATTTTTTTAAAAGTTGCCAGCTACCGCCAGCGATTTTGACTAAAATGTGATGGCCTCCCGGGCATCAGCTGCAGGTGGAGACGCTGAAGAAACAGGTGCAGGAGCTCTGGAGCCGGCTGCACGTCAACGGGAAGCTGGTGAGGAACAAACACGCCTTACGCTCCGTAAATAACTTCATTTACAATTTATAATTTCATTAAGGTCTGTTCACACCAAGTACGATAACTATAACCGTCGTAATAATAATCATTCAAGCTCTGACAGAGACTACAACTATAACGATAACAAAACGGAGGAATGATATTGTAAAGATGTCCCTTTCAGAGCAATCTTTCCCCTGTTGATGAACAGTGTAGTACAAGCATATACTAGAGTTACGTAATCAGATTACTTTTTTCAAGTAACTAGTAAAGCAACGCATTACTTTTTAATTGACAAGAGAATATCCGAGTTACTTTTTCAAATAAGTAACGCAAGTTACTTTTTTCCCCCAATGTATTGATTGACAGCTCTCCTGTCCCCATGCTGAGAGAAATCAGATGTTACTGTAGCTCTAAAATAAATATGAATATGCATTAATTCATCTCACTCACAAAACACAGATTCAGTATTCCTCAAAATGAATAAAAATAATGCAGCTCAGAATATGACGCAAACCTGCAATAATTAAACGTTAAACACAAATATCCTTTATGTATTTAATCCCATTCTATCTGCTTCTGAGCTTCGATGATCCAGTTCAACCGTACTAATAAGCACAAATTACTCTAGACGAACATTTGTGTCTTTGTTTATTGCTGAAGTGTGTTGAAATCTTCTTCTGCATTCTACTGTACGGACGTACATTTACTTTCCCTTCAGCCTGAGGCTTATTCATTTCACTTTAGGTGTGAAAGGCTTTTATATTTGCCAGAAATAGCAAAATATAAAACAAGCGAGCCCTGTCCAGATTTAAAAAGTAACGCGAAAGTAACGTAACACATTACTTTCCATAAAAAGTAACGTAATTAGTTACTTTTTTATGGAGTAACGCAATATTGTAATGCATTACTTTTAAAAGTAACTTTCCCCAACACTGCCGATGAATGAGGAAAACACTGACAGCCAATCAGAAGCTCGAGTATTTAAAGCGGCGAGACAACAAAACGGCAGTGCGCGCTTAGAATAAACAATGTTATCATCCAATATAGTTATCGCTATTGGTATGGTCACCATTATAGTTATTATAGTTATCAGTGCAGTTGTGGATATTATCATTATAGATATTATAGTTATTGTTTTAGCTATCATTATAGTTATCTTCATAGTTATAGATCAGATACAGTTAGCGCTATAGTTATTATCACATGTATTGTTATAGATATCATTAGTGTTATCATTATAGTTATCGTTAGTTACTGCTATCTTTATAGTTATTGCTACAGTTATCGTTAAAGATATTGTTATTATATTCATTATTATTTTTATATTTATCGGTATAGAAATTGTTAGTTATTACAGTTAGCTCTATAGTTATTGCTATTGTTGGAGTTACAAATATTGTTATAGTTATCATTATAGTCATACTTATTATCAAAGTTATTGTTATTGATCTCTATAGTTAGTCTTTTTTGTTATCATTATAGTTGTAGCTATCATTATAATTATTGTTATAGACATTATTTTAATAGTTAGCATTATAGTTATTATAATTATTATTATTTTATTGTTAACATTATAGTTAGTTATTATTACAATTATTGTTATAGATATTATTTATATTATTTAGCATTATAGTTATTATTATAAATATTGTTATTAGATATTTTGGTTATGTTAATAATGGTATAGTTATTGTTATGGTTAGTAATTATTGTTATAGATATTATTTTAGTTATGGTTAATGTTATAGTTATCATTATAGTTGTAGTTATTATAATTATTGTTATGGATATTATATTAGTTACGGTTATCGTTATAGTCGGTGTTTGTGGTGTGAACGGACCTTTAATCTCATCAACGGCGTTGACGTTGTCAGCTGTAAATCTCAGACTTCCTGTTCCTGTGTGCCGCAGACGTCTCTGCCGGACGGAGAGAATAACGGGAACACCGATCTCCTGTCCGAGTCCAGCTGGGAACAGATCGAACAACAGGACGCAGAGGTGAGCAGATCAGACGATGTGCTTCAGCTGCGTTCTGCCTTCACGACACAGATGTGTAACAACCTCAACTCTGCATGAGACCAGATTCAGTTCAGAAGAGCAGTGACTCCGTATTTGGCCTTCATGTGGTTAGTGTTTCTAATGCTTGTTGTGTTTGTGGTCATGTGACGCAGTGGTTCTCGGATCACGCGGCGTCCCGCTGCTACGGGTGCGAGAGGACGTTCTGGCTGGCGGCGAGGAAGCATCACTGCAGGTGATCAGTGTGTGTGTGTGTGTGTGTGTGTGTGTCGTTACCCTCCTCTGTCCTGAATCTCACGTGCTACTGATCCTAAAACACACAGTGCTCATTAATCCACAGCATTTGTTAAACACTAAAATACTCACTAGTACAGCTACAGGACATAAACAATATGCTTTACAGCTCAAATAATAGAGTTTTTTACCAGTAGAGTTAATGTACTGCTTCACAGTTCTGCCTCATTCACCTTCATTTGTAAGTGCTTCGCTGTATTCTCAATTTTGCTATTTTTAAAAAAAAAAATTTTTAAGTGAACAAGGGACAAATTTATTGATTTTTGTAGTAATCGGCATTATGGCACAAAAGCTGTCAATTGAGCTGAACCCGAAATATTCCTTTAAGATTTTCACTCTGCACTTAACGTCTAGTAAACCTCGGGTTAAGCAGCAGTTAAAAGGAGGTTAGAGTCATTTTAGTTGTGAATCGAGTCTTGTGCACGTCACATGATGAGCGCTATTTAATTTAATTATTTTAAAGGTTTTATTAATTAAAATAATCTAAATTAAAATGCTCAAAAATGTAATGAAAAAACGAACTGCAATGATATTTCGACTTGAAATTTTCCCATCAACAACTTTATTGAAGAACATCGAGTTCTTGAACTTCTGGAGTCACAAAATAAACTGGTTTATTAATTGAATATATTAAGATATATTCATAACATTTATTAATTTGAATTTAATTAATGATTCCATTTAATAATTTATTTATTAAAGTTTTATCTATTCAAATAATCTAACTGAATTAAAATGCTAAAAAAGCAATTAAAAAAACAAACTTCAATAATATTTCTGCTTTATTCCCCCCAACAACTTTATTGAAGAACAGAGTTCTTGAACTTCTGGAGTCACAAAATGAACTGTGGTTGATTCATTTAATATATTATATTCACATAAAAATATATTTATTTCAATATATCTAATATGATTTAATTTAATATTTAAAATCGTATGTATTAAAAATATCTAAATAAATTAAAATGCTAAAAAATGTAATAAAAAATAGTTTGTTACTTTAATCCCCCCCCCCATATTTTAAAACAAATATGTATTAAATATATATTAATTAAAATGCAAAAAAAATTAATGATACCCGCAAATTATATTTTTAATTTGTAATTTTTTCTCCATTTTCTTCAACAACAACTTTTTAACTTTTCATATATATATATATATATATATATATATATATTCATAAAAAACGATATTAATTTGAAACTAGATTTAATATGAGGGTCTATTTGAGTTGAGCAGCTGCTGAATGAGTCTGAGTGTGACTGTGGTCTCTCTCTCGTTCTGCTGCAGCGGCAGAGAGCCGGTTGAGGCCTGGTGAGACGCTCCTCCTCTTCCTCCTGCACTTCCTCTCAATCCATCCGTCTTTCCTTTCTCTCCCAAACCAGCCTGTCGTGTTCTCCATCACACCTCCAGCAGCCCATGCGTGTGTTCACACTAGTGCTGGGTGGTATACCGGTTCATACCGAATACCGCTGTTTATTTTTGTTTTGATATGAATTTTTTAAATACCGCAATACAACGCTTAAACAACGTTGGGAACGCGACACTGTTTGAGAGGGGTCCCTTTTCGCTGTTGCACTGTGGTGAGGGAACAGCTGTATGTTACTAAGCGTGAAAGTTCAGAAACTGAAGCTGTAGAACTAATAGAACGTGATGACACAGAAGAACTCATCCACAATATCCACACTGACTGCCACAAATATCCAGCGCCCGCTGCCATCAGCTCCTGCGTCTCACACACACCAGCGCCACTTTAGCACTAGATTCAGCAACTTTCAGACCCTTTTAGTGGCTTTTTTCCATAGAATATTCTTACTGACAAACCTAGTGACTTTTTTGGATAAAGCTTAGCTATGGTTCAGTTGGAAGATTTCTCCAGTGCTGTCCCGCGAGCGCGAGGTCTGACTTTCCCGGAGAAGTGTCGCCTCTCTCGCCGTCTGTTCTGTGCAGTGAGCGGCAGAGAAGCACCGCAGCCGACTCCTCAATAAATGAGTACCTGACGCTTACTGATCGTTAGAAATTATAAATATGAGCGCAGTTCGTCTGTTAATATCACATGCACTTTTTTTAGTTTGTTACTCAGACGCAGGCAGTGCGCTGCATGAGACAAAAAAGTAATCTAGCCAACACAACCGCATAGCCGCTCTTTAGTGTAGATGCATGCTGAGTTTATCAGACGATGCTGTGATTATAAATGAGAGTGACTCCTGGTTAACATGTATTAAAAGGGGTTGTTTAGTCACTATTTAGTGTGGTATTTTCTGACAATATTCACTCATCATGACAGTAAAATAGGGCATTCTGAGTCAATATACTGCAGTATTTCCTCTCAATCAGTAGAAGATATGCTTAACACCCGCTCATGCATGAAAAAACAAATACCGTCATGTACCGTGAAACCGTATGATTTTGGAAAATACCGTGATATAAATTTGTGGTCATATCGCCCAGCACTATTTCACACTAGAGCTTTTGGTGCAAACCCAGTGTAAAAGCTGTTTTCTGAACTCAGATTCAAAGCAGTCAGTCAGAGTCAAGTCCAGGAGAAAATGCTGGTCTGGAATATCATTCAATCACAGTTAGGATGAAAGAAATCTGGCACAATTTGTGGAAATGAACTGCCATTGATTACTGTAGAGAAGAAAAAATCATTGAGACCACTTGAAAATTCTCAGTTTGTCTGGATTTATGAGTCTGAGTAAAAAAAAATTAGTTTTATTCTGTAAACTACTGACGACATTTCTTCCAAATTTTAAATAAAAATGAGTAATTTAGAGCATGAAATGACAATTGGTCAAAATTATGTTTAAATAATTTCACACAATACCAATCTTTGAACTTCAGAAGAGTTCAGAAATCAATATTTGGTGGAATAACCCTGATTTTCACTCACAACAAATGAAAACATTTGTTATTTTGACCAATTAAAAAAAGAGCTTTAAATGACATATATATATTCAGAGACCAGATATAATTTTTGATATTTGTTTACTAGTGGGTGCAGGACACTATAGTTCATTTATGTAAGTGAGGATAGCTAAATAAAGTAAACTGTGATATATTATACCCACAATTCTTCATACAGTGGACTACCAGTAAAACTGATACAAATTTGGGACCAAAAATTATTCAGACATTATATATATATATATATAT